TCTTCCATTTCTGCTTCTTTGGCAACAGCTCCAATAACTTCCCCCAAACCACTCCATTGCATCCCTCCATCTCAGGACCTTGACAACACCAGCTTTGTATTCCCCATCCTATACTGAGCAACCAACATGACCCTTTTAAGCAGCAATCAGCAGACTAGGCTGTTCGATTTTGCTGAGCCAATTGCCTAACAGACACCTGAATAAGAGATTGTTCTAAACAAACCAAGACTTCTGCACTACTTTTCAGGCTCAGAGCCAGTTGTAGCACAGCCAAGCCAGCATAAATCTATAAGCAATTTCTTGAGCCATTTCCATCCCAAAGAGTAAGGATGCCCTCTAGTGAACCAATGCTGTAATTCTAGGGGACAATGGTGCAGCTGTGACTCTCTCTCTTATCAAGTCACTACTGAGCACTGAAGAGCAAGGGAAAGCACGGGCATAATTCCCATTTCTGTAGAAAGAGCTAGAGGTGACATTATGTAAATGGAGCTTGGGTTCATATTCTAATTTATGGCTTCCCCAGATTGTGGAAACTTAACACATTCTCTTCATTAAATCACTTGGGCAGATGTGCCAGAGGCTTTGCCAAATGGGCTTTGCTCAAGAGCATCTGCTTACTTAAAGCTGTAAAGGTAACAGAAAAAAGGAACATAGAGAAATAAATGACCTGTTCGAAAAGGACTGTGTAGAAGGACAGGTCATCATAGGTGTATTTTGGGGAGCTTAATTCATCATAAGCATAATGAGGTTATAAACATATTTTGTCAAAGTTTCATAGTGTTTTTAAGCTGTCTTCAGTGATTCCTCTGCTGAGTCCCCCTTTACAATGGAAGGTTCTCTGCAAGGAAAGGGAAGATTTGAACTGAAATTTGGACTTTGAAAATGTTTTCAAAGTCCATTTCCCACCAGATCCTTTCCACAGCAAAAAAGGCTTCCAATACACCTTCTTCTTCTTCTTGTTAGTTGCGAAGTCATGTCCGACCCATCGCGACCCCATGGACAACATTCCTCCAGGCCTTCCTGTCCTCCACTATCCCCCAGAGTCCATGCAAGCTCACACCAACTGCCTCAGTGACTCCATCTAGCCACCTCATCCTCTGCCATCCCCTTCTTCTTTTGCCATCTATTGTTCCCAGCATTAGACTCTTCTCCAGGGAGTCCTTCTTTCTCATTAGGTGGCCAAAGTATTTGAGTTTCATCTTCAGGATCTGGCCTTCTAAAGAGCAGTTAGTGTTGATCTCCTCTAGGACTGACCAGTTTGATTGCCTTGCTGTCCAAGGGACTCGCAGGAGTCTCCGCCAGCACCACAATTCAAAGGCATCAGTTCTTTGGCGCTCAGCCTTCCTTATGGCCCAGCTTTCACAGCCATACATTGCAACTGGGAAAACCATAGCCTTGACTATACGCACTTTTGTTGGCAAGGTGATGTCTCTGCTTTTTAGTATGCTGTCTAGATTTGCCATAGCTTAACTCCCCAGGAGCAAGCGTCTTTTAATTTCTTGGCTGCAGTCCCTGTCTGCAGTGATCTTGGAGCCCAGGAAAATAAAATCTGTCACTACCTCCATTTCTTCCCCCTCTATTTGCCAGGAAGTGAGAGGACCAGATGCCATGATCTTAGTTTTCTTAATGTTGAGTTTCAAGCCATCTTTTGCCCTCTCCTCCTTCACCCGCATCAAGAGGCTCTTTAGTTCCTCTTCATTTTCTGCCATTAGAGTGGTATCATCTGCATATTTGAGGTTGTTGTTATTTCTCTCAGCGATCTTAATTCCAACTGGTGATTCATCTAGCCCCGCCTTTCTCATGACATGCTCTGCATATAAGTTAAATACACCTTCTAGGAACCCAAATTTCGCCCCTCTCCCTTCAGAACAGATTTGGTAGTGAAACCTCCCATCACCCCCAAAAACAGTGTTTGTGGGAAGTAGCCGTGGATCCAAAGGCATGGACCCAAATGCTCTGGCCACTTCTGGAAAAAGTAGCCCATCCTGCACTGCTGGAAGGCTCTCCTGCAGGAAGTCAACAGCTGGGACAGCTCAGTCATCATCCCTGTTTACTCCTTGGGTGAACACAAGGATCAGACAAAGTTCTCCCACCTGCCAGGCTAGCATCTGTATGCTGTTCCACTGGTGCATGAGGATATGTGGCAAGTGCATCCCATAATTAGGGTTGCTTGTGGAAGAAAGGCTGTTGTGTAAAGGTTGGGGGATCTCTTCCTTTAACAGAAACCTCCTCCTAGCCCATCACTGTGGACCTGAAGAAGTTTGTGCACAACTTTTATTAATATAGGAACCACCATTAACCATCTTGACTCTCATTGTCTGCATGCAGGTGCACTTAGGATACTTCCATGTGCCGGACTCCCATATTCCTAGTTTAATATTGAACCACAGAACCAGAAACCAGAACCAGAACCTGAAATGCAGGAGGCTATTCCCTGGACACAACCTGCTCCAAGCAAATTGAACCATGCAAGATGCATGGTTTAGTTCCGCTCCGGCCAATCATGCGTAAGAGAAACAGCAGGATGGGATCAGATGTGCTGAACCTGTATATCCAGTGCTTTAAATAACAACAATCTGGGCACTATTCTTTATATTAAAATGATTTATACTCGAAAAGGCAAGCCACAGCAATGCTAGCCTGTTACATATGTGTGGGACTCACAAATTGTAACTCACCCTCGATTCAGTGGCAGCATTTATGCAAGGCAGCATTATGAAAATGAACAACACTGTCAAGATGCTCTCACCTCCTGGTTCACATATTCATACAACCTCATGGCAAAGACTAAGGCAGAGGTTTGTCCAGATATGGCTCTTACTGCCACCCTAGATAAAAGTTCTAGGAAAATGTGAACTCACACAATGGCCCAGTTTGCCCTTAAAAGAAGCCACACTGGGTAAGTTTCACCCACACTGCTTCTTGTTGTGTTGGCAGCTGCTAATATGAATATATGAGATGTGGTGGGGGTGCAGCAAAACTTGTAGTTACACATGACCCTAGTGAGAGTGGGAGAGGTTAAGATGCCACCCATCCAACCCTCACCAAATGTGAGTATAACTACAGTGCGACCCTGCCACAGCTCAAATTTTCAACAGAGAAATTCTGAAATTTCAGTGACTTTTCATTACATGCAAATCAAGCGAATACCACATTCAGAGCATCTGAGGTTCATTAGTAATACTAGCATCAATGTATCACTTTTACCATACTGGCCCCAAGGCAGCATAAACTCAAAGATTAGAAATAGAATTCAAGATTCCTTTTTGATATGCTTCACCTTTCTAGAACACTTCTCTGGCAAGTCACTTCATTTCCTGATACCTATTAAACAAATGACTTTATTTATGCAGTTTGGTCTTGTGCAGAAGCATACAGTATGCCTTTGTTAAAAATAACAAGTTAAAGCCAACAACAGGAAGGCTCAGATGTTTCTGACTCCAAAGGGAAGAGAGGTAGACCCAAGTTGAGTAATATTGAGGTCACTATAAAAAATAAGGTGTACATGTTGGCACCATTATTACAAAGGCCACTCATACATGTACACCCTTCACAGATGAATTAACTGTACACAGGCATCCCTTTGAGGTCAAGAAAATACTCCAGCACATGCAGGAGGGGTTACTCAAGCTCTATTCCAGAAATAAAGCTTTCAATGCCCAGTTGATTGCGAAGGAGAGTAAAAGTCAAGGCATTATTTAGCAATAGCAAACACCTTGGCTTTTGTGTGGACTGGAATGGACAAAGCCTTTAGCAAGAGTTGAACACATGGTGTCTGCCCCATCTGAGAAGACACAGCCACCAGCATGCCTAGGTGCCTAGAAATGACCCTTGCCATGGTGCATCCCTACAGCTTCCTGTGCAAGGGATCTGTCCATTCCATTCCATGGGGAGGGGGTGCTCCACAGCATGGGTTGGGTGGGCATACAAGCTTGTCACTCAGACTACTCTCCTGGGCTTTAAACTTGACTGGAAAGCTATGCAATGGTTACCAAAGTGACTGAAGTGATGCTGTAGGTTTCCAATACAAGGAACGTAAAATCAATCTAGTCTTCTGTGAGCTGTAGGACATTTTTTTCTGTCTCTATATGCACCCTTAATGTGTTTTGAAAACAAACTAACCCAGAGATAAGCAGCCCTTAGTACACACATCAAGCTTCAGATCTCTTGGTTTTACAGTCTTGGTGCTATGGCAAACCATTATCTTCTATTATTCTTATAGAAGATGCTTAATTATAAACTTTCCCCTCCTTTTCAAGGAAACAGTTGAATGCTGTTGCCCTAATGGAGCCATGAGATGGGGATCGTTTAAACTTCCTCTTAGTTACTGATCAAAGAAAGCAAAATGGAAAGTAAATTCTAAGTCCTAAAACCTAAGTGATGAGGTGTTCTCCCCACCCAGCACTGTCAACATCCCACAACTAAATCTTTTCACAAAAAAGAGTCACCTCAGTTAGAAAATTGCTTATTCCCATCCTCTAAGCATCAGGCTAATCCCCCAGATGCACCACTCCTTTCTCATTTCACCTTTTTTGCAGGTTCATCCTACCTGCATTCGGATATATGCCTATGGGCTCTCAAGCACCCATGCATTCCTCAGGCTAGAAATGAACACATGTAAAGGACTCCTAAGATACATGATAATCAAATGTAATTGAAACTCAACACTGAAAAACTAAATAAATACATTAAATCACAAACACATATACATCTCCCACTTTGACAGGCTGTGTTGGGAGTCACCAGACTCCCACCAGGAAGCTGAAAGGGATTTGGGGAGGAGGATCTATCCCAGCTAGTCCTGAGAATACCATTCTTGTCTCAGTTCAGAGGTTTGCCTGCAGTGTGCCACAAAACTGACTATATCAGCTGCTGCAGGAAGAGGAACAACAAGCGAGGAACATGCAACCAAAAAGGGATCTGTCAGCCAGCAGTCACCAGAGGTCACTTGGAGAAGCTTGATCAGAGTTTAACCGAGAACGATGATCCACAGGAACAACCTTGCTCTGCCTGTGGATTGTTCACCACTTGGAAAGAGCTGCGGATTAGCTCTTGGTTGAAGTCCACCATTGCCCCTTTTACAAAGTTTAGGCTGTCCAAGTCCACAACCACTCTGGCTCCACCTTGTTCAAAAACCCTGGAGAAAGAAACATAGACAGCATATTAGAGCACTTGCAGAATGACTAGGAAGGATAGCAGAGATATCCCTCCAAGACATACCTTCCCCTGCCTCCAGGCCACACACAGACAAGTCTTCGGGGGGAGCTGATCCTTAGCAACTCTGCCGAGTCTAGGGGCCAATGTAGATGCTGCAGTCTGGGTCACCTTAGAACAGTCTTGCGCGGCCTGGTGCCCTCCAGGTATTCCATACTTCAACTCCCATTAGCCTGAGCTAGCACAGACTGTAGCTGTGGATGGTGAGAGTTGGCAGTTCCAAACCTCTACAGGACACTGGGTTGGAAAAGGCTGTCTTGTCTGCTCCTTTATAAGCTATTGTGTTCTTTAAGATGAGCAGGTGAGGCCTTTCTCCAGTTTCTGTTTAACTGAGAAGATGATGCCTATAACATGGGCTTTCTTGGGAGTTCAAGCTATAAGCTTACCACCATTTCAAGCAAAGCCTGCCATAGTCTGACCAGCTTTTCAGGAAGGAGGTAAAGATCTTGTTTCAATAACCTTTAGTTTCTTCTTTTTAATAGATTTAATTATCTCTTGTCAGTTTAACTATTGTGTAATATATTTTACATGATACTTAGCTTGCTAGTCACCTTAGTTTCAAGGCAGGGGAATAAAGCAAAAAATGCATTTTGGAAATAAATATATTATGAAAGATCTGATGTTGCAATGAAGCTGGGAACATACATACCAATCACATAAAGGATGTGATATTGCTACAGAACATTCAGTAACATATTGATTCTGCTTTCCTCTCACCTTCCCCCTTCATACACAGATGGCAAGTCTACAATTGTCTCCACCCAGAGATACATTCAGTAATCTCTGGCCTTACCTGTCATCAGAATTGACAACTGTATCCAAGGAAAATTTGTACTGGAAGCCAGAACAGCCACCCCCTTCCACCTGCAGCCTGAGAAACTCAGATCCTTCTGTAATCTCAACCAGCCTCTGTTAAAATAGAATTGAAAAGTTTCATATACAAATATTAGGCAACCACTTGAAATTCTACAGTCACTTAGCAAGTGCCCTCAGAGGTTTCAGGGCAGCACGAAGCAGAGAGTAGAGAGGCAAACTGCACCTATGCGCCTGGTGGCACATTCTTTCACAGACACTAAAAATAAGCACACCTTTTCATCTTTTTGCTAGACTGGACTGAGTATTCCACCAAAAACCTAGATCTCAGTTTGTTATATGCAAGTGAGCCAGCATTAGTATCTACTCATGCCACTCTGGTATAGGCTAGGAGTTGGGATAGCTAGTAAGATAGTATGTACCATTTGGATGAAGGAGCTGTACATTTATTATAGACATGCCTATATGACAGTTGCATGGGCCACACCAAACAGCAAAATATACTGCAGTTCAGGAGGCATTACAAATGGTGCATTCGTTTCTTGACTTCCAAGCAACCATACCTTCACACAGTTCTCACTGAGGAAGATCAGTCCCTCATTCGGATCCTTCTGGGTCTCACCAGAAGAGGATGCTACCCACTGCACTCTTATCCTTGGCACAGAGGCACAGTTATTTGAGGCAGAAGATGGGGCTCTCATCCAATGCCAGAGAGCAAGGGAATAGCTGTGTGGGAAAGATAACGAATGGGCAAAAGGTATTAGACAGAAAGTGCATCAGATCAATGATAGGAAGAATAGAGAGAACTTTTACGCTTTGACACCTCGCCCTGTAGAACTGAGAGGTCCAACACTGGCATTGCCAGATCACTGTCACCACTGGAGGAATTTTCTTCTGTTATCCTATTTCCTCAGGATTACCAGAGTAACTGTCTGCTTTATCACACCCTTTGTACTGACCTTCAGGGCACAATGAGTAAATTACATGGTTATTTTCTCATTTAGTAACTGCAACAGCATTTCACATCCTGTGCTACTTAAAATAACACCAGCATTAAGACATCCAAATCCTTCCCCCTTCAATGAATGAAGTTAAAACCAACCATCAATATAATTTGCTGAATTGTAACACAGTAATTCCCCATTTCACCATAGAAACCATAAAAGCAGGAGGCAACTACAGATTGAGAAGCTTGCAAACTCAGGGTAAGCAATACACTCCCAAAGGGAAACCTGAATACTCACAGACAGCAAGCTGATAATGGAATTGCAAGAACTCTGAGCTGTAGTATCAAAGTGGTGGAACAGGAGAAAGCATCTACAACAAGTAGATGTAATGTATTGTAAGCCACCTAGGAAGGCCTCGGCAGTTTTGGCGGCCTATAAATACGTGTACAAGCAAACAAACAAACAAACAAACAAACATGTATTTGGTACATAAAGCAGTAAGCGCCTTCATAGAAGACTCAAAGAATGCAGAGCATGGGACTACTTATCTCATTACTGAAGGATTGTCCTATTGAGTAAGTAAGCTGCTTTGGCAACCTTTTCTGGCTGAGAAGTAAGATACTCTAAGATACTTTAAATACATAAGAAAGGCAAGGAGGAACACACAAGAGTTTTAGAGTTCCAAGTGATATGCTGAGTAAGGGAGTAGAAACTTTTAGGAGAAAATTTGTTCTTTGAATGGAAACAGATTCCAGAACACTAAGGCAGGGGTCCTTAAACTTTTTAAAGAGGGGGCCAGTTCACTGTCCCTCAGACTTTTGGTTTGAAAAAAAATATGAACGAATTCCTATGCACACTGCACATTAAAAATTAATTAAAAATAAAATAAAAGTTAATTAAAATTAAAATTTTAAAAAATAATTAAAAATTAAAAAATGTTTGCTCCACTCACTTGGGCTGCAGCAGAAGCCCAAGATGAGGTGGGGAAGAGCACGTCCATATTCAAGGGACATAGCTACAATGTCCCTTGAATATGTCCCATAGCGAGCATGGGCGTGCTCGGGGGAGATGGGCACAATTGCGCACAAGCTTGTGGGGGGAGATGGGTGCGATTGTGGGCGTGCTTGGAGGGGAGATGGGCGCGACCGCAACCATCTCCACCGCCCCCCCCCCGGCATGCTCGTCTTCCCTGCACGAGCACGCCTGCGATTGCGGCCATCTCCCCCAAGTGCGTTGAGTACGCCTGTGCCAGCTTCTGGACTTGCTCGGAGATCAATAAATCAGCATGGCGGGCTGGATCCGGCCCATAGGCAGTAGTTTGAGGACCCATGCTCTAAGGTGTCAGGACAGGGTGACAAGAATGGTAGCTTGGTGGCAAGGGTTGACATATGAGGACAGATTGAGGGAACTGGGTCTTTTCAGCCTGGAGGAGATTCCAAGGGGATCTATGAGTGACTTTTAGGTATGTGAGGGGATATCATGTGGAGCAGGGCCGTGAGCTGTTCTTCCCTGCAGTGGAGGGCAAGATGTGTTCCACTGAGGCAAAGCTCAAGGAACCAGGATTCAGGTTGGATGCCAGGAAGTATTTCCTGACAGTTAGGATCCCTAGGATATGGAATGGGCTTCCAAGGAAGGTGGTTGAGGCCCCATCAGTGAGGGTGTTCAAGGAAAGATTGGACAACCACCTGTTGGAGATTAAATGAGTGGAGCTGGCTGGAGCCAGGGGTCAGACTAGATGGTCCAGGAGGCCCCTTCTGACTTGCTTTGTTTCTGTGTTAAGGTATGAAACACAAAATCCCTGTTGCTTTGGACCTTTTCGGTCCAGGCCAGAGAAAATTTACTGCTGTGACCAAGAAAGTCAGAGGAAAAAAGCCAAGACAAAACACCACTGTGGAGTAGGTCTCAATCACTATCTTAACCCTTCCTACTTTGTCCTTATGATACATTGCTTAAGTACTTACTACTCTTTCTACTAAGTTGAGGGCATGCTCTTACATGGCTGAGCATACACTAACAGGCATTTCATACTAAACATGCTTCATTTGAATTTGGCTATTCTTCATCTGTGTTCTGAACCCTTTGTCCTTGTTCCATTCCACAGAAAAGCCTTTTTCTAACAAGGCAATTTTGAGCTTACTTTGGTACTTAAGTAAACTCAAGGAGATGCTTGACTGCCTCCCATCTCATAGCTTGTGATCCTCTGATCAAGGAGAAGTTATTCCCTATAATAACTATCACAATCTTAATTGCTTTCCTAAAATACAGAAGCAGATGCCTATGTACGTTAGACAGGAAATTGCAAAGCATTCAGCTAAAATGAGCAGTGGTTATTTTCCCTGGCACTGGACAGCTTTAGGTAAAATACAAACCAAACCATCTTCTGTAGTTATTTTTCCCACTGCAGTATTGTCATTATCCATATGCCTGAACCTTGCCTGAACCCTGCTAAGCTACTGGCCTCAATGCAATCTTGTAACTGCAAACTCATAGGTTAATTATACAGTACAAAATGAGTACTTCTTTTCATCTTCTGCCTTTCCATTTTCTTAATATCCCCTTTGTCCTTCCTGGACCGTTTGCTGTTTTGTTCCATGATTCTTTCTCAAACTGCTGTAACATTAATACAGCTCAGACCTCCTGAGTTCAATATATAGACTTCCTGTGTGATTGTTTTAGCCAATGACTTAGGACTTTGATTTTTTCCAGAGCACTAAAGAATAACCATTTATATACTAACAAGACTACCATTGATTTCATCTTCACTTTTTTCAAACAAACATGGACAGATATTTAGTTTGCTATCTGAAAAACAATATGTTGGAAGCAAGCTCTATTGAACACAATGGCATTAATGAAATTTCAAGACTTTAAGGGCACAATTCTATGCATGTGTAAACAGAAAAAAAGCTGCCATTACTCTCCAGACAGCCATGTTGAAAGTCAGACTTTTGTCTGTCTAAACATGCTTAGGATTGCATCCTAATTAACAAACTTGTTTGACTCCTTTATTGGTTTCTGGTGCTAGTGCTGAACTGTGCAATTTACAAAATGAGCAAAATTTACACGATGCAATACAGGATTGCATTGCAGTCAGAAGACCAGTAAAGATGGCATGCCTTGTTGTTGTTAGTCGTGAAGTCGTGTCCGACCCATCGCGACCCCATGGACAACATTCCTCCAGGCCTTCCTGTTCTCCACCATCCCCCAGAGTCCACGCAAGCTCACACGAACTGCTTCAGTGACTCCATCTAGCCACCTCATCCTCTGCCGTCCCTTCTTTTGCAATCTATTGTTCCCAGCATTAGGCTCTTCTCCAGGGAGTCCTTCCTTTTCATTAGGTGGCCAAAGTAATTGAGTTTCATCTTCAGTATCTGGCCTTCTAAAGAGCAGTCAGGGCTGATCTCCTCTAGGACTGACTGGTTTGATCGCCTTGTGGTCCAAGGGACTAGCAGCAGTCTCCTCCAGCACCACAATTCAAAGGCCTCAATCCTTTGGCGCTCAGCCTTCCTTATGGTCCAGCTTTCACAGCCATACATTGCAACTGGGAAAACCATAGCCTGGACTATACGCACTTTTGTTGGCAGGGTGTCTCTGCTTTTTAGTATGCTGTCTAGATTTGCCATAGCTTTTCTCCCAAGGAGCAAGCATCTTTTAATTTCTTGGCTGCAGTCCCTGTCTGCGGTGATCTTGGAGCCCAGGAAAATAAAATCTGTCACTACCTCCATTTCTTCCCCATCTATA